TGAAGTCACCTGAGAGTGCAGCAGTCCCACACGCTCACTGGCATCAATCAGCTCCTGCTCGGCCACCTTGCGGCCTCTCTCCGTCTGCTCCAGTGCGACTCTCAGCTCTTCAATCTCGGCCACCATCAGGTTGTTCCTGCGCTCCACCATGGCCACCTGCTCCTTCATGTCTTCCTGGCTTCTTATGGCTTCGTCCAGGTGCAGCTGAGCGTCCTGAGGAGAAAATGAAACACATTCGTGACGTGGTCTTAAAGTAGTGAACTCCATCTGACCTGAAGATATATTCCATATCTTTCCGTACCTTCAGCTGTCCTTGAACATTTCTCAGCTGTTTCTGAGCCTCAGCGGCCTGGCGGTTGGCGTGGCTCAGCTGAATCTCCATCTCGTTCAGGTCTCCCTCCATCTTCTTCTTGACTCTCATGGCGTCGTTCCTGCTCCTCACCTCGGCGTCTAATGTGCTCTGCATGGACTCGATCACCCTCTGGCTGTTCCTCTTGATCTGCTCCATCTCCTCGTCCTTCTCTGCGAGTTTCCTCTCGACCTCACTCTTCACCTGAGTCAGCTCCAGTTGAACACGGAGAATCTTGGACTCCTCGTGCTCCAGAGTAGCCTGTTAACAAGTTTGTTCTTAAAGTGCTGAAGTCAAAACCTTCTAAACTTTGTTGGGGTGAAACAAAAACCAGACGACGTCGTTTCACCTCTGCCTCCTCCAGAGCCGTCTGGATCTCTGATTTCTCCAGCTCCACAGTCTTCTTTCCCTTATCCAGCTCGTGAATCGTCTTACCGGTTTCACCCAGCTGCTCACTCAGGTCTGAGATCTCCTCTGTTGGTATGTCAGTACACATATTTAATACAACACCAAATGCCAAACACAGTAGGTGACACAAAGTGTCCAGACGTTTGTGTCAGAATCAAATATCTTTTGTAAAACCGTCTCACGTTGCAGGTTCTTGTTCTCCCTCTTCAGAGTCTCCAGATGATCCAGAGATTCTTCATACGAGTTTTTCATTTTGAACAACTCTGTGCTCATCGAGCGTGCGTCCTTCTGGGCTCCTTCTAACTCGGCCTGGCTTTCTTCATACTTTTGCTTCCATTCAGCCAGAACCTGAGAGCACGAGAAAAAAACATAAACTTTTTCTCACCTATTCATATCTTGCAAATGTAGTAAAATGCATTCATTAATATTATTTGTGCCTTGTCAAAGTTCCTCTGCTTCTTGTCCAGGTTGGCAGCCAGAGCGTTAGCTCTCTCCACGTCGATCATCAGATCCTCCACTTCACCCTGCAGCCTCTGCTTGGTCTTTTCCAGTGAAGCACATTTTGCATTCACAGCCTCGATGGCTTCTTCTGCGTCCTGGAGACGCTGAGCCAACTTTTTCCTGGTAAGTACCAAGAATGTAGGTTAATAACAGGTGAAAAATGAAATGCACGTGTGACTGTTTTCAGTTTCTGGCCTCCTCCATTACTTGGCCTCCTCCAACTCCTCAGTGCGCTGAATGGCATCAGTCTCATATTTGGTTCTCCACTGCGCCACCTCGCTGTTGGCCTTGGACAGAGCTCTCTGCAGCTCAGCCTTGGCCTCCTGCTCCTCCTCAAACTGCTCCCTGAGGAGGTCACAGTCATGGCGGGACGACTGAACAGCGTGAGCCAGGGCGTTCTTGGCCTACGAATCGAAGCAGACCGCAATAAAAATTCCGACCCTCATTACCTTAGCTTAGCTTTTTTGTTCTACTTGTTCTGTGTGTTGACCGCTACCTTTATTTCCTCTTCTATGTGTCTCTTCAGCTCCTCGATCTGCTGGGTGTACGCCTGTTTGCCTCTCGTCAACTGGGAAACAAGAGCTTCTTTCTCCTCCAGCTGACGACTGATTTCACCTGAAGAATGTTTATGAACGTCAATTAATTATACAAAAAAATATATATAAATACTAGGGATGTCTGATAATATTGGTCGGCCGATATTATTGGCCCAATATTAGCTTAATTATGTAATATCCGTAAGAATCGTTAACAGTTTTCCCTCCGATAATGAAAACACGATAACACAATGCTTGGGTTTCACCAAATGACGTGCCCTAAAAATTGTTTTGGGGAAAAATGGCTGTATATGAAAGTGAAAGCCACCAGATGGCAGCATTGCAGCTCATTTTATTAATCTATTTCAATAATCAGTGTAAATAAATAAATAAATAAATATTACCAGACCTATATCAGAATCAGAAGTTAAGTGTTTGGACAATATCGGCACAAAGTTAATATCGGACATCCCTAATAAATACTGAAGTCCAAAACAGAGCTGCTGGTGTACAGGTGTGGAGAGTATGTTTTACAGTAAACCTTTTTGACTTAGTTTTAAATGTAGTAAATTGTAATGTTTACCGTTTTCAGTTTGAAGTCTCGCTCTTTGAACACTCAGATCATTGAGCTGACGAACATTCTCATCATTCTTGGACTTCAGCTCGCTCAGTTGGTCCTCCAGGGTCCTGCAAATCTTTTCCAGGTTTCCCTTAATTAAAAAAAAAAAGTAAACATTTGTCAAACAGCTCAACCTGTCTGAGCTAATATAAGAATGAGTGATGAACGACTTCTTTATTCACCTTTGCTTTGGCTACAGACTCCATGTTGCTGGAGAGATCGTCGATCTCCATCTTGAACTCACTTTTCTCCTTCTCCAGCTTCTGTTTGACTCTCTGGAGATTATCGATCTGTTCTCCCAGCTCGGCCACACTGTCGGCCTGCTTCTTGCGCAGAGCTGCGGCCGTAGCCTCGTGCTGCAGGGTGGACTCTTCGAGATCACGACGCAGCTTCTGGAACTCTGCCTCCCGCTTCTTGTTCATCTCAATCTGCACAGATGTTGCTCCTCCAGCTTCTTCCAGCCGCTCACTGATCTCCTCCAGTTCCCTGGAGAGATCAGACCTCTGCTTCTCCACCTTGGCCCGAGCAGCTCTCTCAGCCTCGATCTCCTCCTCCAGCTCCTCGATACGAGCTTGAAGTTCCTTTATCTTTTTCTGAAGCTGGATTCCAAGCGACTGCTCATCCTCAATTCTGCCCAGGAGCTGGCTTATCTCAAAGTCTTTTCTTGAGGTGTTACAAAACAAAATATAGGTTATTTTTTTGCTTTTATCAGAATAAATCATTCTTAGTTTAAAGAGTTTAAAGAAAACCTCTTACTTCTTTATTTTCTCATCAGACTGCTGCTTGTCATTCTCCAGGTCCATTATGGATTCATGGGCCAGTTTCAGATCTCCCTCCAGTTTTCTCTTTGCTCTCTCAAGATCCATACGGAGCTTCTTCTCTTGCTCCAGGGAACCTTCAAGCTGTGAAGAAAGAATATGTTTCATATTGATGAAGATGATGGCAACGACCGATTGATTACAGATTACTTCCGTAGCTCGATCACTCACATCGTCCACTTGCTGCTCCAGCTTGGTCTTGGCCTTTGTCAGAGTGTTGACTTTGTCTTCCTCTGCCTGAAGGTCATCAAGTACCTGCTGATGGGCCTCTTGGAGAGCTTTCTTCTCTTTGGTCAACTTGGCAATGGACTCATCTTGAGATGCCATTTCCTCTGTGAGATTTTTCACCTGGAAAATTTTTATGATGAATTAAAACTCCTAAATGGATATTAATTTCTTTGAACCCAAGTAAAAACGTTGCGGACAATGTTAGTCACCTTGTTCTCAGTGGCATGTTTCTCCTTCTCCACTTTGGCTAAGGTGAGCTCCAAGTCATCGATGTCTTTCTTCAGCTCAGAGCATTCGTCCTCCAGCTTCCTCTTCTTTGCAGTCAACTCTGCGTTCATTTCCTCTTCGTCCTCCAGTCTCTCAGACGTCTCTTTGAGCTTGGCCTCCATCTGGATTTTGGTTTTAATGAGTCCCTCACACCTTTCCTCTGCATCAGTCAGGTTTTCACTTTCCTAGGAATCACAGACAGATTTGTTTTCAACAAAGCACTTCATAAGGGCATTTGATCATTATGACATTAAACTGAAGAGAACTGACTTACAGACTGCACTTGCAGCTGCAGGTCATTCTTCTCCTGCAGAAGGGAAACCATCTTCTCCTCCAGTTCCTTCTTCTTGGCCAGAGCCTTTGCTAGGTCCTCTTTGGTTTTTTCAAAGTCCTCCTTCATCTGGGCCATCTCCTTCTCAGTCTCTGCACTCTTCAGGAGAGGCTTGATCTTGAAGTACAGCTTCATCCATGGCCAGGTCTTGACATTCATGAATGAGCGGATGTTGTACTGAATAGCAAAAATGGCCTCCCTGAAAATTTAAAAAAAATCAGTGAGAGATTCTGATAAAAGGTTATTTTTTCATATGTCGTAGTGGTACTTGGAGATACTTTACCTTCTTTCCATCATCTTGACAAACTCACGTCTCATCAGGAAACCTCTGCACAGACCTTGGGTCATTGTAACCAACGCAGCCAGTTTCTCATCTCTCATCTCCTCTAGAGTTCCCAGAAGTCCAGCTTTAAAGAACACCTGGATATGAAATCATTCGTTATTGGCTAAATTATGATACTCCACGTCAGACACCTTCAATAGAATTGTATTTCTGTACCTTGGTGTGTCCAAACTTGTACTGAGTGTGATCTACATCAATAGAACCCAAGAGTTTCTCTGAGGCCTTCTTGTTGTCGATGAACTGACCCTCAGGGATGACGCTAGCATTCAGTACTTTGTACCTGATTTAAAAAACAACCAATCACCAATTACAACTGTTCTTTTTTTTTTTTACTGGAAATATGCCTTAACAGATATGAAAATGCACCTCTGCTTGAAGTCACCATATTGGATCCTGCTGGGAAATCCTTTCCTGCAGATCCTGATACCTTCCAGCACACCGTTACACCTGAGCTGGTGGATGACCAGGAAGTTCTCCATCAGACCTGTGATAAATCATCAAAAAAACACAACAACATTATAATGTCTCATCTTAAAATGACAGACACAACAAGTTAAACACTGTTAACTTTGACCAGTTCTCTAAAGTACCTGGTGTCTTGGATTCATTGGGGATAAGACAGCGTACAAAATGAGGGTGTGTGCTCCTCAGGTTTGTCATAAGCTTGCCCAAATTCTCCTGAAGAATTTAAGAGAAGACACATTTAAATTATTTTAAACATGAACTAAACTGGAGGTAAACACAATAAACACAGACTACAGATTTAAATCTTACCCTGAACAAAGCTGACACAGTCTGAAAAGAACCGCCCTTCTTCTTCCCGGCTTTCTTGGTGCTGCCTTCAGCTGCCAGTGGAAAATATTAACATTTACGTATTTATATTTCACAAGATGTTCCAAATTGTTATGCAGCCAGCAAACATGTCTGTGTCTAATAACAGCCGACCATTGATCACTGACGGCACGTACCTTCTGTTGCGGCATGTGTTGCGTACAGGTAAGACAGCAGTTTGACCGATGACTTCTGGTAGAGCTGGACCACTGAGTCATTCAGGGGGTCTTTGTTCTTGTCCAGCCAACCATTAACGTTGTAATCCACAGTTCCAGCATAGTGGACCAGAGAGAAGTGAGCCTCAGCTTTGCCTTTGGCAGGTTTGGGTTTCTGGAAGGGGGCACTTTTACCAAGATGCTGGTCGTACAGTTTGCTCTTGAAGGTTATGTCTGTTGCCTTGGGGAACATGCACTCCTCTTCAAGGATGGAGAAGATGCCCATTGGCTGTTGAGAGGAAACACGTTTTAGTCCAGAACCGTCTTATTGGTAAAGGTGTTTGGTAGGGATGTCCGATAATATCAACCGACGCTAGTCTTTGGTATTTGTGACTCACCTTCTCAATAAGCTCAATGCAGGCAGCCAAGTCCATACCAAAGTCAATGAACTCCCATTCAATTCCTTCTTTCTTGTATTCTTCCTGCTCCAGGACGAACATGTGGTGGTTGAAAAACTGTTGCAGTTTCTCATTGGTGAAGTTGATGCACAGCTGCTCCAGACTGTTGAACTAGAAACAGTAAAAAACTCATAATTAGTAAAATGATCAAAGCATGATAAAAGTAGATTCTCTGACGATACTTACATCAAAGATTTCAAACCCAGCAATATCCAGGACACCAATGAAGTAGCTTCTGGACTGCTTAGTGTCCAACATCTCGTTGATTCTGACGACCATCCACAAGAACATTTTCTCATAGACGGACTTGCACAGAGCCATGACGGAGTTGTTGACCTACATGTGCAGATTATGAAGTAAAAACACTGGTAAACAATACAGCGTACAGATATCTAATCTGAAACCTTGTAGTTGAAGGACAATATCATCAGCATAGAAATGTACCAAGGTAATTGTAAAGAGCAAATTTGGGCCTATTTCTAATTGTTTTTACCTGAGGAACTGTTTGACCTTTGGTAACATACTCATTCCCGACCTTCACTCTGGGGTAGCACACTCCTTTGAGCAAATCAGCAGAGTTCAGACCCATGAGGTAGGCGATTTTATCGGCCACTACAAACAGAGCAAGAATTCATTTTAAAAACACATAGTAAGGCTATGATTTTAATTTTGACGTTGAAGCTCGTGGGTTGTTGGTTTCGTACCCTCAGTGCCATCAGGCTCAGCCTGCTCTTCACGCTGCTTCTGCTTGAACTTCATGTTGCCGTGATGCATCACCGCTCCAGTCAGCTTGTACATGCTAGCCTTCTCTTCCAGTGTGAAGCCCAGGATGTCAATGGCAGTCTTTAAATAGTTTGACATGAAACAAGAATTTATTCTTCTGAAAAAACACATCATCCAGTAACTGAGTCGACTTTAAGTTACACCTTAACTATCACCAAAATCATGACAAGCAAGAGTTATCATTAATGCAGTGGCAGTTGAGTTGTTCTTACATCAGTGGCGATGAATTCTTCAACATCGTCGATACTCTTGACAGTGATTTCACCCTGACTGATCATGTGATAGTCGTATGGATTGGTGGTGATCAGCAGAGCCTCTGAAGAAACAGGAAACAAGTTGTGAACACAAACAAAATCCAGAAATGACCACTGGTGAACATGAACTCCTACTGTATCGTCAACGATCTCTCACCTATGAGCTCAGGTTTGTGGCCTGTTGTGAGTTGATAGAAGATGTGGTAGCTTCTCTCAGCAGACAGCTGGAACGTCACTCGAGATTTCTCCAGCAGATCTGTTTGGGTTGAAGAGTTTTTAATTTTAGGACAGTATCATGACAGTATCATCTGCATACGTATTGAGTGACGATTATCTTACAAGTTTCAATATCAGCTGAAGCCAGCTTTCCAGTTGTCCCAAAATGAATTCGGATGAATTTACCCTGTGAAGGAACAGTCAGCATTGAAATATAAACTGTCTAATCTTTAAATATTAATTTTTATTTATTTATTTTAATGTTAATGTTAAACTTACAAAACGTGAAGAGTTGTCATTCCTCACAGTCTTGGCATTACCATAGGCCTCCAACAGGGGGTTTGCTGCAATGATTTGATCTTCCAGTGACCCCTAAATACAACAGCAATTTGGTAAGTTTTTTTTTTAACTCTTTCTTTTTTATTATAAGTTTTAACATCTTTTTGTTTGATTTCTTTTACCTTCATTTTCCCAGACGTATGCTCAGCCTTTTTCCCTCCAGCAACTGCAATTGTTGCAAAGTACTGGATGACACGTTTGGTGTTGACAGTCTTTCCAGCACCGGATTCTCCTCTGTGTGTAGTAAAGTGAAGACATGTGGTAACTATAGTGTTGTTGTTAGCTACAACATCAACTATCTAACCTCGTACTCACGTGATCAGGATCGACTGGTTTTCTCTGTCTGTAAAACAAACGGTTCATAAGTTTAAAATGTTTGTTTTCAAGGGTGGAAATAGTAGAATGTAGCAGCCGGACATGGTCATACCTTGGAGCATGAACTGATAGGCGTTATCAGAGATGGAGAAGATGTGGGGCGGGGCCTCAATCCTCTTCTTCCCTCTGTATCCTGCTACAACCCCTGAATCATACACTGGGAGCCACTTGTAGGGGTTCACAGTGACGCAGAACAGCCCTGAGTAGGTCTGTGGTCAGAGGAAGAGGAGGTGGTTCCCAGTGTGAGAAGGAATTTAGATTTAATTCACTCCAATAACTGTCAAGTACAAACTGTCCTTACGTAGATCATCCAGGCTGCGTAACGCTCTTTGAGGTTATACAGCACGGAAGGCTCGCTGAGGTGGGTCATCATGGCCATGTCCTCAATCTTATCAAACTTTGGAGGGTTCATGGGGAAGATTTGATCATCCTTCACGGTTATGCTCTAGTAAACAGACAATTAGAGGTATTTAAATATAATTTATACTTCATTCATTCACTTCATTTTTTTTTTTTCCTTGAAGAAATCATTTTAAATCTACCACATTTTCAGTCACATTTCTAATACGTTACTGTCGAAGCATCGTGACAAGTGTCACTTGACCAGCTAGTACATTGCATCCATTGCAATATATCATCCATTAGCATGTTTATTGGTCAGTTATCAAATCAAAAGGAATGTTTATTTTTTCATTTCTTTTATATGTCCCCATGTTCTTGAGTTGCAAAACATTTTTATGTCACTGTTTTTTTCCAGTTAGATTGAACTGAACTTATGTGTAACTTAACATGTCCTGAATACAACGCTAATGTTAAGCTAGCAAACCCCAAATCTCTAGATCTACGTCGAGGCTTAAACCACACCACTGTCAACTGACGGTGTTCAAACAAGGTGCAAATAGTAGATGTTCCTTTGAGCTAGAGTCAAACCAGCAACCTAAGGATGCCATGTGTATCCTCCACAGTCCTCCACGCTCTTTCCTGCCAACTAAGCTATCTGAGGATGTTGGTTGTGAACCCTAATCACCATAATAACATGGCCAAGTGCGTGCATTTTGAACCGTCGATCTCACCTTTCCAGACAGAGTCTCCACTGTGGCTTTGCCACCCTCCTTCTTCACAAGTTTTCCTTTAAGGTACATCTCCGCCGGCTCAGTTACGAAGTACGCTGTTTTAGCGTCGAATGGCGTGTTCTGGGCTTCGATTCTCTCCCTTTCTGGCTTCCGGAGGTACACGGCCGCCGCGCCGAAACACTCCATTTCTGGGTCCGAACTCATGATGACCCTTTACTGAGATTGTGGGGAAACAAAGACCAAACAAATTAAACAAGATAAAAGGATGCTAACAGGTATATTAGTGAAGATTATAATGATATCTGATGAAACTAAACTGTTATCAATGTCCTTGTTTACCTCAGAACACACCAGGTGAGCAGAGATGTTTGAAGCAGATTTCAATGGAGAATCCTGGGAAAATATTAGGAGAAAATTAGGAGGATCACATGTTCTACAAGTGAAAAGGTATGTTTGTTTTTTTTTTTTGTTGTTGATTTGATACAAACAACTGCTGAGAATTAGCACATGTTACAGACGTCTTACCTTTGCTGGGTGCCTGTCCACGGTGGAGTCTTGAGACTCCTTTATATAGAGTGATGGAGCCTATCACACATGTCCTGCTGTATTTGGTCATGTTTCTTGTCATTACACTTGAGCGGTAGTTTTTAACTCTCGATGAAACATTACACGTTTGATGAGGTGTCATCTGGTCAATGGATCATTGTTTGGCTACGAATCTGTCGGGGGGGAAGAGGTTGCTGTCTGAAGACAGTTTAGGAGATGTGATGCTGTCACTGTGGCTTTGTCGTGACTGGCATATGTTGTTTTGGTGTGTGAAGATGTAAACAACATGTTAAGATTTGTAATAGTGAGTTTGTTAAAAGGTCGATGTTTCTCTCCACTGCTTCTGTTTATTATAAAGAACAGAGGATCGAGTTTTGAGTTTTTATTGGCTCCTGGCTGAGGAGAGGTCCAAAGACATGACTCAATGCATCTTTTTAATGCTCTCTGGCACAACAGTAACCTCAGGCAATGCCTTAGAGAAGCTTCCAAAAGTCAGCGATATAGTGTTTCAGAGTCTTTACAAGTCAGAAATTATTAAAAATGAAAGGAGTGCCAGTGAGCTTGAAAGAAAGGCGGGGTTTGCCGGAGGATTATTTCTCACAACAGTGCCAGCAGCTGTTCTTATTCTTACTCCAGGGGGCACACAAGTGAGTGATGGATTCCAGCCTCCTCTTCCACTGTCTGTGTCTCTGTCTCTCTGTCTGTGTCTCTCCATCTGTCTCTCTGTCTCAATCTACTGCATATACAATCTGTACCATAGCTACGTATCTATGTATCCATATTTTTGTACTCGTGTGATGAGTAAGAAGGTGTGTTCTGAGTGTGTTCTGCTCATGTCCCAAACATCTCTGCCAGGGACTCGTCCCACTCCACACTCTGTCCCTATAGTCTTAACGCCCGAAAAGGAGCTCTTCTTACAGCAGCGAATAAAGAGGCAGAAATTCTGAAGTGATTACCAACGAGTTATAACCATCCTGTGTCTTCAGCGACCACTTGTTATACGATTCCTGCCCTGAAATCTGAAATCTTATTAGGACAAAACTCAAATATAGCCCCGGGCTTATGTCCACGCTCAAGTCAAATGCCACGCGCTCATGAGGCTTATTGTGTTTTTAAGGCCTTTGATCTCCCTCTGTCAGTTTCTTCATCGTCAAGCAGCGGCAGCAACTGTTCTCCGGATAACAATCCAAGGTGAATGACACCTCAGGTCGCTGGCCGACCGCAAAGAGCGTGGACACGCAGAGTCCTCCGCGGTAATAGCGGCACGCATTTTTTTTTACATTTTCATGCCTCCGCGGTAATAGCGGCACGCATTTTCTTTATATTTTCACAGTGCATGTCTTCAGTTTTAAGAGCCTTGCATTGAGATTTCTAGTTAAAACAGTGGAAATGTGTAAATGGAATGTAACGCATGTGTTTTCATAGGGATGAGAGTTAACGTTTAAACACCTTTTTAATTGACCTGGTCTGACTGATGGACTGACTCCACAAGTAAATGTTTAAGCATTAGTAATAACTAATGAAAAAAAACTACAAACTACAAATGTACTAAAATTGTTGACATTTTTAAGAATTTAAAACCGTGATAAAATTCAATTGCGTTTATTTATTTATTAAAACTACAAATATACTAAAATTGTTGACTTGTTGAATTTCTGAGAATTTACCGTGATAAAATGCAATTGCGTTTATCTATTATTTTTTTTACATGTATAGATGCTAACTGTAGGCAAATTTGTTGTCTGTCCGCTGGGGTCGAGAGTCACTAACATCTTATTAACACTAGAACGAGCCCCACGTTGAAAATGTGCCAACACGCTCCTCGTGTTACCAGCTTCTTAATCATTCTTCTGGTGTGGTCCCTGAATGCTGCAGCGACGACTCACACTGCCATTAAAGAAGATGTGTTTAAATCTAAAAATGTACTGTTGGACGTGACACTTTTAATAACTCCACTTTGTTTTCAGCCAGAGTTCATGCTGCGACCAGTTCCGTCCAGAGATACGGTGCATCACCGTTTAAATGTTTTGGGTTTTGTTGTATTTTCTACTGACTTCATTTTCTTGACGTATTTGTGTCTTGTTTCTTTATCAAAGCAGAAAATGGATGAGGGAGAAGAACTGAGTGGAAAAAAAAAGAACAAATGTGTTGCGATGGAAACTGAGAGAACGACCAGTGAAAGGTTCAAGTTCAGGTTCAAATCTCAGTCATGAAAAGGTGAGTGAGGTTTTAATGGTGTAAAATCACAGCATGAAGCTGTTTCAGTCCTAATAAACATCCATCAACCTTCACAGAAAGTCAAAGGATATCGATAAAAACAATACAGTTCATATTAACAACAGCAACAAGTATAAATAATGCAGAAAAAAAATTGTACTTTTTGTACTTTTTTTTTTTTTAACATTTTAATATTACGTCTCTGTAGCCGGCACCATCCGTCGTTGTGTCTTTATTTTCTTTGTCCATAAATCTTCTTTGTGCTCGACTTCATTTATTCC